ACTCTTCGCGACCCCATGGACCACATCACGCCAGGCCCTCCATACCTATTTCCAATCAGAATATAAGATTTTTCCCCATAAAATCCTTTCTCTGTTGTTTCCTAAATGTAAGAATTGGGCTGGCCTCTATGATCATATATTTATTTTAAAATAAATCTCTGCTGCTTCTCCAGGGAAACTGTCCCAGGCATGTTACAAAAATAAAACATAATAAAAACACAAAGCTCCATAAAAGTTAACAAAACCCAGTATTGAAAATCCACCAAGAGAACAAAACCTTTAATGCATTGCTGTTGGCTGGGCTTTTCTGATATGTAGTGTTAATTAAATTACTATTGAAAGGAAAGAGTCAGTGATAATTCTGCAGCTTCTCTCAAGGAAATGAAACCTCTTTTTGGGGAGGCAAGGACATGGTTCACCACAACCTTTACATAAACCACACTGCCCCATTGGTTGGAAATTTGTCTAGTGGGGCTATATAAGCCACAAGGAACTTACCATCCCAGCCTACACAAGTTCCTAATTTACTAAAGGAAGCAAAGATTTTAGGTCAAAAAGGATTTGCTATTTCACCAATTTTTGCTGCCTTGCTCACATTTCTAAATTAGGATGAGAGCCAAGCAAGCTGGTTACTTGCTGAACACTGTAGCAATCGCTGAGCTAGGTGCAGAGAAGAAGAAAAAAACTCCTCTTACAGCAATCCTCACCAACAAGTGTTAGGTCCAGATCAAGGCTTTTTGTGCCTGGCTTCCAGAAGAAGATACCCACCAGTGTGGCGTAGTGATTAGAGTTTGAGACTAGAATCTGGGAGACCCAGGTCTGAATCCCCCCTCTGCTGTGGAAGGTTACTGGATGACCTTGGGCCAATCACTGTCTCCCAGTGTAGCCTACCTCATAAAGTTGTGTGAGGATAAAGTCAAGGACAGGAGAATGATGTTGTAAATTGTTTTGATTCTTCACTGGGGAGAAAAGTGGGGTATCTAAATAGATGTCTCCTTTCTTATTAGAAGCTGTTTTCCATATGGAGATCCTTAGAAGTTACTGAAGGCTACCTCAGCATGAGTCCTTTGTTTTCACTAGCCAGTTTGGTGAAGTGCACGGACTCTTATCTGGAAGAACCAGGTTCGATTCCCCACTCCTCCACTTGCAGCTGCTGGATGACCTTGGGCAAGTCATAGTTCTGTCAGAACTGTTCTCTCAAGGACGGTTCTCTCAGAGCTCTCTCAGCCCCACCTACCTCACAGGGTGTCTGTTGTGGGGAGGGGAAGGAAGAGGAGTTTGTAAGCTGCTCTGATACTCCAAATGAAGGGCGGGGTAAAAATCCAATCTCCTTCTCCTCCTCCACTACTCCTAGTGTTGTGGGGGAAGGGAAAGGGGCGTAGTATAGCCCAGTCTCATCAGATCTTGGATGCTAAGCAGTGTCAGTACTTGAATGGGAGACTCTGAAAAGGAAGGCAATGGCAAGCCACCTCTGCTTCTTACTTGCCTTGAAAGCCCCTTGCTGGGGTCATCAGAAGTCAGTTGCAACTTGACAGCACAACACATAGTCTTGTGGGATGAGACTGAGGGATCAAACTCTCTGTGGTAAAGCCGTTCATAGAGCTACTGGGCATGTGCGCATAGACAGATACAAAGTGGAACCTTTGAAAAAAGTGGCAAACCCCACAAGGAAATCATGTAGAGAGAGAATGTATGTGGATAATTTAAATTTCACAATGTAGCGGGCTTGTTTTCACCTCCCATCCAACCATCTGCAATGGTAGATAATAAATCATGAAATAGCCTCAAAATGGAGGATTAGGTAGAACTAACATTTTTACTGTACAGCAAAAGAACAAGCCACTGACTAAGGCTTGAGTCAAGAGCAGACCTGGAATCTTGCAAAACTAGCCACAGCTGTCTGCACTGCTCACTTAACTCATTTAACTCACTTTTACGAAGCACACCCATGTCCCACATTTCCCCATACCAGGGATGACTCCTGTATCCACATGCTCAGAAGAATCAATTCAGAGAATTGAAAGAAAATGATGCCTGTTAATTACAATTTGTTAAACTTACAAGAGGTAAGGCTTAGAAGAGCTGGTGTGAAAAAGTATGAAAGATTCAATGGAGCAGATGGTAATATGAAGAGAGGATACACTTTTTTTTTTTAGTTGTTTTAAAATTAGCATTTAATTACTGGCATTCAGCCAGGAAGATCTCACTCACTGGCTGGGATCCAAAGAACTGCTTTGCATGTACCCAGTGGGATTGTCTTTTTTTTTTTTTCAGTTGAAGACCCCACCCATCATGCCAGGATACAATCTGCGTTTTGAAAGAGAAACAGAAAGCAAGGGTGACCGGATGTGGAATTCTTTGGATCTGGCCGTTGCACTGAGGAGCCACAAGAAATGTAATATCATGCCAAAATGATGCTGAACAATAAAGAGTAATATAGTAATCACAAGGTCTTCATCTCATCCTCACATACATCAGGAACAAAGGCTGTGATCTCCTGGACTGGACTTTTGGATCTTGATCACTACACAATTTGAGTTGCGATACCTTGATTTGTATGTAGTCCTCTGTTATATGTTCATAGTAGAAAGGTTAGGATTCTCATTTGCTCAGTGGTAGATTTTACACAAGGCAGTGTTCCCTCTAAGCTGAGTTAGTGTGAGCTAGCTCACAGTTTTTTAGCCTCCGGCTCACAGATTCTTGCCTTAGCTCAGGAAGGATGGCTCCAGAGCAAACTAATTTATGCAGCAGCCCAATCGCTCGCTCACAACTTTAATGCCAGTAGCTCACAAGGTAGAATTGTTGCTCACAAGACTCCGCAGCTTAGAGGGAGCACTGACGCAGTCCGTCTTAAGTGGAAAATCCTCTGAGCCTTCCTATCCTAGTAGTATTTGCAGACACTTTGTTACTTTCTTGCCTTCCTGGTGATGACTTGTTTCTGTTCAGCATGTGCTTGAATTGGTCCATTTAAAAATGTAAAGACTTCTCTCTCCAAATCCCACCATGTCATCTCCCCAAACTGTAGCTCATTCACAGAGTAACCTACTTCTGTCACTTATTAGCCCCAATATTCTCCTAGCCAAACTAGTCTTGATTTTAATAGAAATTTAGTGTCAGATTATCCTTCTCCTTTCTGATTCGGTTTTAGTACCCCTGTTCTAGGGAATATGTTTCTGCTTTCTTCTTTCTGTTAAAATCTAGAGGTATCGCTTTGCTATGCTCCAATTCAGTTAGGCAAGCTTTTGATGACAGGAACTGCTCTTGGCTATACAGGTCCTTTCTGCATTTGCCTGCTACTCCAGATTTTCTCAGTGTTCAAGTCCAGGCAATTTAAGTCCACAGTGGAAAAGTATCCAAATAATGCGGGGCCACAGCAGGCTGAAACTGGGCTGATCACTGAAAGGCGGTATTGTAATGCAGAATGGGGAAAAAAACCCGAAATAAAAAGGTTGAACTTGATTTTAGTGCAGAATGGGGGGGGGGACTGGATTAAAAAGAAGGTTGAATTTGACTTTAGTGCAGAATGGCTTGGAGGACACAGTGAACATGGATTAAAAGGAAAGCGCAGAAAGGGCCACAGTGTAGTAGGAAGCTGATCTAGGCTTAGAGATCCTAGGCAACTATATACAAATAGTGGCTTAGCTCTCTTGGAGTTTTTCAGCGGTGGAAGGGTATCTGCTCATGCAGCATGGCTTTCTCAAAGCCTCCCTCCTGTGGCAGCCTGAAATGCCACCCAACACATTGTTCCTCGTGGGGGGGGGGGGGGGATGTTTTTCCAAACCTTCCATAGTGATGAATTCCTATGTTAGCTGCGGCCAAAATAATGACGTTTCAGTTTAGACACCATGTAAAACCATGGCTTAATTAAATTAACTATGGTTGGGGTGATTATCAAGATGCAGTGGTGTCAATCAAATCAGGAGCTAATTGGTTTATTAACCCAAGTGTTACCCACGGTTTAGCAGTGATGCCTGAACGCAGACATCTTGGCACATTCCTGGTTTCAATGCTGGCTTGTTTTCTAGAAATGCTTTGCAGGAAGGAGAGAGATGGGAGTGAAACCAGCATTCAAGTGAGTGACTGCGAGCTGAATGCTGGTTTCACAAACTAACCACAGTTAAAATAAACCATAGTTTCAAATTATGTCTGAACCAAGCCAAAGAGCCTTGTCACACCCTAAAGACTAAGACATTTATTGTCCCATAAGCTTTTGTGGGCCAGATCCCCCTTCATCAGATGCACAAGAAGTGACATTATCTGCAGTGTAACTTAGTCACATGGCCACTCAGTCATTCTTGGGTTTGCATCCTTCCATACTCAGAATGGTGACTGACACAGTAGCACAGGAGACGGGCTTCTCTGAGGGTCAGTTATTCTGCCATCCTCTGAAAATAAACCTTTTGCGTACTAGTGTCTTCAACTGCAAGGCAGGAAAAAGTATGCCTCAAGTATCAAGATTCAATTAGAATAGATTAGCTCTCTCTCTCTTTTTCTCTTGTATTTTGTATTTAGTTAAAAGCAGCAAGGGGACAGAACTGGCACAGCACAGCAGTCCTGGCAAAGAGTTCTTATTAACTTGACCCATGCAAACAGCCCCTCATCCAAAACATCAGGCCTCCCATAACAGATCAACCGAAACTGGCTTCTGCACTTATTGCTTCAAACAAATATAGCTGTCTTGACCAGATACTGGGCGGTTGAAATGTAAATGTGCTAAGCAAATAAAGACAGATTTTAAAAAGTAGGAGATTAGATCTGTATCTTAAATTTGGCCCAAAGTTTGGGAAAGACTGATTACTTCCCAAGCAGGAATCCTGCTAACAGGTAAACCTTAATGAGCAAATATTTCTATTTTTCCCCCTATAGTGCACTGTATTCTCCTTGAATTTATTAAACAGCTAAACATAGATGAACAAGTTCCTCAAAATGGTTTGCACTAGTCAACAGTTTTCCTAAAAATACAGCATAGACTATAACCAGGCACTTAACAATTAGCGATTTATTAGATAAAATTCATATTTTATTAAATTACAGGTTTTCCACATCTTTACTAAATATATTTAAAGAAAATCAAAACTGAATTTCTGATTTGTGTCAGTGGAGCAATGTTGCTTATATCTCTATTTCCTGATTGGATAACTTATGTAAATAACCAGCATCTACAACACAGTTGCCTTCCAGAGTCAAATCAAACAAGCACACTGAAACAGTTACTGAGATGAAAAAAGGGTTTCGCTGCATCTTTTTTCTTTTCACATGTATTTTTTCCACACGGCAAAAGCATAATCAAGCCAATATTAAGTACTTTTAAGTTCAAATAACTTCAAACTGACAGTAAAGCACATATTTTTAACATTTCAATTGAAACCAATGGAACTTAGAATGTGCTTTTCTTCAGCTGGATTCCAGGTTTTTTCACAATAGTGTTTCTTTTCACATCACAGGCCTAAACCCTAAAGAGAGTGTATTCTTCCGTATGCTATGAATGGCAGTTCTACTACTACTCACATTGATTCCAGAAACTCACAGTCAGTTATTAGATGGACACACATGGCACCATAACATGAGGATATAGTGTGTTTCCCCTTCAATATTTCAAAGTGTTCACAAGATAGTCATTCATTTATGGTACAGCATACAAATGGGACTCTTCCACACAACTACACTTTCCGCTTTTCATCTGGTGTGAGGTACACACTGAGTATCAAAGCAGAAGTACTTCATTAAGGCATGTGTGAAACAAGCACATTCGCTATATGAAAAACAACAGCAACAAAAAACTATTCCCATTAATTTGGCTCAAATGACATAATATGAACAACTGGAAAAGTTCATTAATAACATAATGAATGGGATCCAAAGAGCTGCTTCTGGCATGCCCAAGACAATGGATATATCCAGTGGGACTGTTACTTTTTCCCCTTCAAACAGCGGGTCTCACGTCTAGGGCCATTTTATGCCGGTGTTGTACTGCACTTTGCCATAACCAAGCAAAGGGCCCATATGACAAGATACGAGCCCACTGGTTCATAACTTCTCCTGTTTGCAGTTCTGATCTACTTGTTGGCCCCATCTGAGAGACCATTCATCTCACCTTCTCACTGTGGGTGGCAGAGAGGATTGGACCCAAAGGGAGAGGGTAAATGAGTAGGCAGTAGCAAAACAGTGGGCTCATCAGGGAGCATGGTCCACTGTAGGCATCATATCAAAGGATCCTCCAAAACCTGGAGCCAGCACTGCCCATGCTATACTATAACCTTCTTTTAAAAAAACATTTTGCTACAACAGGGCTGCTTTTTGAGAATTATGAAGTCAAATGCCACTTAGGCAACTGGAACTAATGCTGCAGCTCGTTAGATCCTGACCATGATAATCGACATGGCTTTTACTCCTCTTGGATGATAAAGATATACCAAATACGTTATTAAAATTAGAAGTCAAGAACAAGAACATATTACAGAAGAAACCTGAATGATTACATCTGTAGGTCGTAATTGTAGTTGCTCACAGGCTAGTCAGAATAATTTGAAAAGCACAGGTCCTGTGACTTCAGTATTAACACAGATCTGAACTTTTACACATTGGACATTTTGTAAGTTCAATATCAGGCAGAGAGGGCAGATCTAACCCTACTCAATGTTCAATTATAAATCCTAAATATATAATTTGAGGCAACATTGGGAATGTCAACCATTGTGAACTGGAGATTTCTTTGTTGGCAGTGCTTTTATTTCTTTGTCACACTAGCCACTGCCTTCTTGGCAGCATCTTCAAGGTCACTTGCTGAAGTTATTGGAAGTCCACTTTCATTCAGAATGCGCTGGGCTTCATGAACATTCGTCCCTAGAAAAGAAGCGGGGAAACTTAAATAATGTGTACTGTTAATTCCATGGAGATGAAATGGCATAGCTTGGTTTAGCAAGTAGCATGCAAACGTATGTGTTTATTTAATAGGAATAACAATTGAGGATCTACGATGTTTTGCATATGGGGGAAGCTCCTTCTCTCCCTTGACTGCATAGCTGCTGCCTCAATTGGCCTCTTTAAACTTTCCTGCTTTTAACAGGCAAGTGGAAGCAAAGAATCCTCTTCACCCCTCGCTCCAGCGCTGCTTCTCCCTGCAGTCTTGCTTGTCAGAAGCCCGTGGGAAAGTTTAAAGAGGGCAGCTGAAGCAGTGGCTGTGGAGGTGTATGGATGAGAAAAGGCTGACTCTCATACACCTATCTCCCTATTAAATGCTCATTATAAAATCTTGGCAAATACATCAACAGAAAGATTGAATATTGTTTTATTTTATATACATATGGATCAATTGAGATACCTTGAAGGACATGTCTTAAGAGAGGTAATTAAGGTTAATACAAGAAAGATAATAAATTTATTTTCCCTGAATACCTAAAAAACCTGAAAAAAGAGATATATTTAATAATGCAAATATTAACAGCAGCAAGAATTGTATTTGCCAAGAAATGGAAGGAAGACAATATTCCTACTAAAGATGAGATTATTATTAAGGTGTTTGATATAGCAGAAATGGAGAAATTAATTTGTATTGTGGATGAAAAAAGTGTTGAGAAATATGAAAAATATTGGTTTAGTTTTTATAACTGGTTGGAAGAGTCAAAATTCAGCTTAAATGAATGAATAAGGCCAAATGTTGAGTGTGATGGTTATTATAAGTATGTGAAGATATCTGCAAAATGGAAAAGTGTTAAGATGTGTTGTATTTGTGAAAAATGTGGAAAATCCAATAAAGAAAATTATAAAAAAATACCTAAAAACCTGTACTATTACATTTTCTAGATGCTGAAATGGTATTTGATAGATTTGAATGGCCATTTTAAAGAAATCTTTGAAAAGCTTTGATACAAGCCCAGATTCAGGGTCTGGGTTAATTTATGTATCTCTACTTGCCAGATTAATGTTTAAATTTAAGATGAGTGAAGCTGGATGAGTTATATAGCAATAAAAATAAAGTGACAGAAATGCTATTGTTTTTGACTTTGCAATATTTATCCAACAAAAAACATGAAACCAGATGCAAGCATCTGAAATGGTAGGCAACTAACTGCTACAAGATGGCAGGCAACTAACTGCTACACAATATTTAAAAAACAGTACAACGCCATCTGGCTCGGAGTTTTGGGCTCGGGTGTCACCAATATGCTGATGACACCCAGCTATATCAGTTGATGGGCGGCTGCCCAGACTCTGCCCCCCAAAATCTAGCCAAGGCCCACAGTGTTCCCTCTAAGCTGAGTTAGCTCACAGTTTTTTAGCCTCTGACCCACACATTTTTGTCTTAGTTCAGGAAGGATGGCTCCAGCGCAAACTAATTTATGCAGTAGCTAAATTGCTCACTTACAGCTTTAATGCCAGTAGCTCACAAAGTAGTTATTTTGCTCACAAGACTCCACAGCTTAGAGGGAGCAGTGGCCGAGGGGTTGGAGGTCATGGTAGAATAGTCGAAGCAAAGCCGGTTGAAGCTGAATCTAGCTAAGACTAAGGTTCTGTGGCTGGGTGTGTGTGTGAGATTCAGGATTGGGAAGTCAACTCCCAGCCCTTGATGGGGTACCTCTGACACTGGCACCTACCATCAGAAGCCTGGGGGTGATCTTGGACCCCGCTCTGTCTATGGAGGCCCAGATCACCAATGTTGTACAGCGGGCATTTTTCCAACTGCGCCAAGTTAGCCAACTGGCCCCCTACCTGTCTCGCCCTAACCTTGCCACAGTAATCCATGCAACAGTCACCTCCAGGGTGGATTATTGCAACTTGCTTTACGTAGGGCTACCCTTGAGACTCACCCAGAAGCTCCAACTGGTACAAAACGCAGCTGTGCAGGTCCTTATGGGGACTCCACGGAGGGCACATATTCATCCAGTGCTGCGTGAGCTGCACTGGTTGCCAGCAGAGCACCAGATCAGATTCAAGGTTTTGGTGATTACCTTTAAAGCCCTTTACGGTCAGGGACCAATGTATTTTTGTGACCGCCTCTCCTCATATATCCCCCAAAGGGCATTGAGATCAGCAGATAAGAATCTCCTGGTGATTCCTGGCCCCAAAGATACCCAGCTGGCCTCGACCAGGGCCAGGGCTTTCTTGGCCTTGGCCCCAGCCTGGTGGAATTCTCTGCCAAATGACATCTGTGCCCTGTCTGATCTATTAAAGTTCTGCAGGGCATGCAAGGCAGAAATGTTTGGCCAGAACTTTGGTTGAGGCCAGTGATGGTTCTGAATAGGACATCTTCTTTTTAAATATTTATGCTGAATGTTTTAATACTGAATTTTTGTAGCTTGAATTGGTTTTAAACTTGTACTGAATGTATGTTGTTGTAAACCATCCGGAGCCCTGTGTAAGCAGGGAAGGGTAGTTAAGAAACTGAAATAAATAAATAAATAATGAAGAGGAATTGAAGAACATGTTTTTTGAGCAAATTAACCCACTTCAAATGATCCTGGAAGGTGAAGCTCATACAATTGGTTCATTCTTGGGTGAGTGACAACCCTTCATCAGATTTTGAGCTATGATTTAAGCCACAAGAATATGTCAGACAAGAAAGATTAGCAATGACAGTAGACATGAACAAAGTTCCTTTATTGTTTACTCTATTGATGACCCAAGGATATTACTTTGAAACAAAGGACACTGGGTTTACTCATAAAACAGAATGAAGATATGGAGGCATATATTGTTAAACTGTATGTATAACTTTACTGGGGGAAAAATCTATTCTGGGGTTTCAGCCAGTATAGGACATTGCCTCCTCCCCAAACATGTTTCACCCCACTTTAGAATTTTTTAATTTGTGGTATGATAGTAGTTTCAATTTAAAGGACGGGTACTTGATTTCAAGTAAAATTTCAGGTTACATTCCCCCCCCCCCCCCAGTACTATGCCTGTTATAAAGACCTGGAAAAAAAACATAACAAACTTCATCAACTTGGGGAGTTGAATACTCCATGGTTAATCTGTTTGGGGCCAAGATTCCCTCAAACCATGATATAAACACTCCCTACCCCACTGAAAATTATTGATAGCACCAGGATCTTCCTGGAATTCTTGCAGTCCTATCAATTTAGGAAGGACTTGCTAGGGCTCTGAGTTACTCCAGCTGGCAGAGGTAATCTTTTCCAACCCTGGTACTTGAGATCCTTTTAATGGTGGATATTGAAGCTTGAACTTGGAACCTTCGGTATGCAAAACTGGATCTTTGAGCAACAGATCCTGTCAGATACCCGATGAAGCTTCTAACCATGTTTGGATATAAACAGTCTAGGAATCATTGTGATATAATACTTTTCTGGGGTAAAACAAGTCTTGTGAATCTCAGAGCTATGTTAGTTGATACATCAAGTTCAGACAACATAAGACTTGTAGTTGCTGAAAAAAAGGGGTGGGGGTCCATAAATTAAAAGAGACGTTTCGGGAAAGTGTGCGTTACACTCTGTCAAACTCCTATAAAAGGCAAATGCATAGCTAAATGAGAGGAGATTAATTAAAAGAGATGACTGATTGTTGCTCACATCTTGTAGCTCTTTGTTCATTAATGCTGCCAGAAGACAGGCCCAGTTGAATCGTTCTGGCAGAGCGATCACACAAATTTCATCTCTCCCTGGCAGTCTCTTCTGTGTTTTGATGCCATCCATTTGAGCGCCTCCTGACAACAATGGTACCTTTTCACTTGCTAGTTGGAAAGGTGATGGCTGAGACAGAAGGTCTGACAGGGAAAGCAAAGACAGGCCCTGTCCTAGTGGTCAAGCTCTGGAGGCTTTCAAAACCAGAAATACTGATGCCAGGAAGAATGATCAGTGCAGAAATGACAGGTACATTCCTGGAGCACAGTGACTCTCCAGAGTGGAGGTCTCATTTAGGCCTTGGTTGAAAGAAACTGTACACAACTGTGAACACATACTCTATTGACAATCCACAAACCATGAAAAGCAGGCACTCTATAATTCTATTTGTTTCTGCCACTCTCTTTCCATCCCCATAACAGACTCCCAAATGCAACCTTCCAAAAGGCAAATACCACTTTGACCTCATGCTCTCTTTCTTCCTTTGCCATTAGAATGCAATTAATATCTTCTTCACATTAAACAATTTGTTGCTGCTTCAGCCCTCTAATCAGAGCTCATCCCAGATGAGAGCACAAGATTGTTGCTCCAAATACTATTGTATACCTTTTATGAATATGCTGACATAGAATATGAAGAAAAATTATAATCAGATTCTTTGAGGGTAGGAATATTTCATTTTAAAAAATCTGCTGAACAGTTTCAAACTTCCAGCTCTAACAAGGTAATTTTTTTCCTGAAGGGAAGGGTTAAAGATTTTTAAAGGGATTTGCCAAACGGCAGCAAACTGTACCAGCAATGCAACATCACGTCTTCAGTACACTGATTACTGGCATCAGTTTAATAACATAACCATGACTGGGACACTTCTCAACCAGTATTGGCACATTCCAAACACTATGGAAATGATAAAGATGCCTGCAACTGAGATCCATAAATTGCTGACTTTCTGGTTAATCTTGGACATGGGTGATGGTTGTAGTTTCAAAAGACACCTCAAACACCCTCAATGAACTGGCTCCAAGTTCAGAAGGCAACAGAATTTAGACAAATGGCACTTAGAGCCTACAGATTTATGTCACCACATCAGGCCAGTGTAGAACAGCCGTTAAAAGACTGGACTGGGAGAGTCAGATTCAAACTCAGCTGCATCACAAAGGTTGGTTGCTGAATTGCATGTTCTTGAGCAACTGATTACATAATCTTATGTCAGTCTACCTACCACACACAAGGTTGTTGTGAGAATAAAAGGGATGGGTGGGGGAC